TCCCCCGGTAAGATTTGTTTTAATGTTGGACTTAAATGCATCAATCTGGTGCACTTTGAGGGGGAAATAAAGAGACTACACCCATATGAAACAGAACTGTATACATTTAAATAATCATAAAATCATAAGAACATGGCCATAATCAATAACATACCATATCCAATATGGAAAAACATTGAAACTTGTTTATTTATTTGTTTTTGGTTCATTTATAGTTGTGAGTGTGTCTGTGCTCCTGAACCAGCCTCTCCTGTCTCCCCCCCTCTCCCCCCTGCTCCTCTTTGAGGCAGCAGCAAAGACTAGTTTTAGCTCAACAAGTTTTAATAGTTTATCTTACCTTTTTTCACCTAGTTAACGTTTTTTTTTTTTATTATTCATGCATATTTTACTAATCACTCCCCCCTCAAATGGAAATATGTGTTTACATAAATGGTGACCAAACCGTTTGAGACCCACTGGGAAGCCAGCTCACACTGTCCGCTCCAGCAGCGAGCCGCGCAACATCCCGCTAACACGGCACCCAGACCCCACGCAGCATTCTCATCTGTTTGTCATTACTGGTGTCATTTTCTGGTTGCTAACAAACGCCATGGTAACACATAATCACTGATGTTCCGCTGTAACGGTGGTAGACTCATCAGAACAGAGTGGGCGAGCTGACCAATCAGAGCACACTGGGCTCACAGGGAGGGGGGGGGGAGCAGGAGCTCCAACAAGGCGTGTAGGACAGAGGATGAACATACTATACAGAGATGCTGTATGAGAAACCAATGTGAGTTTGGAACATTGAACAATGTAAATCTATTCTAGTAGACCTCAACAATGGAATTATGATCAGTAGAAATGGCCATGACATGGGACCTTTAAAGAAAATATCTCTCAGAGGGGCGTTCGGAGTAGCTCCTTATTTTCATCTAAAGTAACAGACCCACTGGGATAACTTAGACTAAGTTAACTATCTAAACACTCAGAGTCCTTTACCTCACCTGAGCTGTAGTTATCAGTCTCTCAGTCTGACAGCAGAGGACTCTCCTCCACCTTGTTGTTGAAAAAGCTCCTTATATCCGTTAGCGCAGCTAGCTAGCACCAGATGCTAACAACAATACACGTAACCGGTGCGCGCGCTTTCTCTCTCGCTCGCGCCACACATAACACACACCCTCCCGAGCTTGAATGACACACAGAGACCAATCGAGGGCATTAGTATGATCTGTATGAAAGTGGCCATGTGGGCAGGCCACATCATGTCGGCAGCCAGTCACCCTCTGTGAGGCAGAGTCAGACCCACATTTGCGCAGCGTTGCGTTCACAATACATAGGCCTACATAAAAAAAAGTCCTCAGGCCAGCAGGCCACTTAGCAGGCCCGGTCCTCCCGATGGCCAGTCCGGGCCTGGATCTAAAGGTAGCACAAGCTAACTTTCATAGCACAGCTTTACTTCTCACTTAACACAATAAAGAAACAGACCGTATAGCACAAACAACACAAATGATCAATACTTACATATATTTTCACTTGTAGTCTTATAATAATTGAAATGCTGGATCTTCTGGGGGTCTTCTGTCCACGCTCAGCTAGCTACCGCACCGGCCTGCACTGTACAATCGCTGGAGGACTGGGCTGTCACTCAAAAGCTGAGTAGCCAATGGGGACGCACCCCTGAAAGTCCCGCCCACCTGGGAGGTTTGTGTCAGAATCTCAAACAAAAAATGAGGGAGCGCAAAAGAGAAAGCTGCAGCGAGAGCAAAAGTCTGATCATTGAGAAAGAAGAAACAAGAACTGAAAACAAAAACCTATGTTAAAACAAAGAAAAAAGACTTATAGTTTACATGATTACACAAATGATTTGTTTGCAACTTATAGTTTTATTTTTGAAATGTATTTTATTTTGCTTGACTCAGTTTTTTTCTTCTTTTAAACTCATAGTTTTGCTTTATTCTGAGAAAGTGTTGCTTTATCTTTATGATACAAAACTAATCCCATAGAAAATGGCAGTGCATACATTATTTGAGATATATTTCGAACTCGGACTTCATTTTAAGGACATTGCGGCCAGGGGTGTAGAGCTATTTTTTTAATTTGTAAAACCTCCTTCATTTCATGAAATGGCTGCAGCATCAGGAGGCAGCCTCTGAGAAGTGCAGCACCAGCGCGTACACACCGCCTTTACTGTGTCCCCCACTGCAGGCTGCTACGTTTCAACCACACAGAATGAAGGAAATGTCCGGTCACAAAGGCGCATGATGTGTATGTGCTCTGCTCGGCTCCGCTGTGTGCGTGTGTGTGTGTGTGTGTGTGTGTGTGTGTGTGTGTATGTTCGGTGTGTTTTTATGTGTGTCCAACAACGGGATTTGTTTTCAAATTACCATGAACAGTAATTGTCAAACAAGCCCAGGGGTCTCACTAGGGATGGGTATCGTTTGAAATTTATCGATTCCGATTTCGATTCCGGTTCTGCTTATCGATTCCGGTTCTTATCGATTCCCCGTTTCGATTCCAAAATTGTAAAATAAAGAGGTCAAACGTTTAGATAACAAAAATATATGTATTCTTAAAAGCTTTAACTGAAATAGTTACTAAAAAATATACATGCAATACAAATGTATTGCACAATAGCTGTGCTTTATTTTAACTGAGCTATGCCTGTGGCAAGCTATTAACAGGCATGACACTTTGCCTTTTATTTTTATTTTTTAGTGTAGTGGAGCCTCACTTCAGAGTGTTTACCGCGACCTATCTTTGGTGTTATGAAGTGACTGAGCTCGTGAAATGTCTACGGGAGGGCGGGGGAGCATCGCTGCGGGGCAACTGTGGACCTCTGTCGCCTGTCAGCGCAATTTATATGATGCCGTTAAAAAAAATTAAGGGCGGTGCCGGCCGTCAGCGTACCGAGCCGGCCGTCAACGGCCCGCTGACGACCGGCCGTTCTGTGATTCTCCAGGTCCGCCCTGTATTCCACCGGGTCACCGCAGCACCGCGGTGCAGACGGACCCGCTGGAATACAGGGTCTACCGCGTTTAGGAACCGTTAAGCAGAACCGAAATTGTGTATTTTGTATGGGTACCCGGTACCCGGCATTTTCTTATCGGTTCTCATCTGGAACCGAGTTTCGGTTCCCAACCCTAGGTCTCACTGACATTTCAGTTATATCAATGTGTACAGTGGTCCTAATTTGTTTTAATTGTATTCTGGTTTTAAACTTTGTTAATATGTTTTGGATGCATATTGTTCTATTATTTGTAGGGATGCTCCGATCGCCAATTTCGGGGCCGATCGCCGGAATCAGTATCGGCCGATGCCGATCCGATCGAGTGGGCGGGGCCTAAATGGAAGATTTAAACATCACTTTAAATCTTCCATTTAAAGTGATGTTTAAACTCAGTTAATGGGGCTCATTCACTGGAGCTTCCACAAACAACAATCAACTTAATTATTACATTCAAATGATGTACATTATTCAAGTTTACATTCACTTTGGATAATAACACGGGAGAAATGAGAAAAATCCATAAAAAAATGTCATCTGTAGAAGCCGTAGTACTGTAAAAAGCACGACCAATCATCTGAGCCAGCCCTGTCAGCCTTCCATCTGTGCACAAACTTATCTCGTGCCCTCATTGGTCATGTGCGCGTTCGTGTGTGTTGGAGGAGGGGCTCTGTAAGGAAGTGGCAGATTTGTTCCGGCTGTGTATTTTCAAATTCTAGCGCACTCGAGCTGGTTTCTCCAAAATGACCTACCCCACCTTTAACCACAGAACACTAACCAAAAACATGTTATTAAAACCGTTGACCTCCAGACGGGGGAGCCCGGAAGTGCTCCAATTCTAACTCATTCCCAGGTTTAGAACTCATTCCTGCAATACTATTAGTGTCGAGGGGTAATGAAAGGGCTATTATTCCACATTCTATCTAGTTGTAAACAGCCATAAATAAAGTTTAAGCTGTTGGTACCTGGTAACAGTGCGTTACGATTATGTTCCACTGCACTGAAGCTCCATTGGTATTCATTCCTCTCCACCGCGGAAATCAAATGCCAAAACATTTCCATTTAAAGTGCTCGCTGTGTTGTGTAACTGTGCTGTAAAAATGCCAGAATCTTTGCTCTTTTTAGCGTGAGACAAACTCACTTACCAGGTTGTAAGAATCATAAGCTTTCACTCCCTTAATGCATTAAGATGTAAAAAGAGAATATCACATTCTACTGAAAATGTGTCTGACACTGTTTGGGCTGTTTGTATATGCCTATAATAATTACATCATTTCCAGTGATGTGTTTTAGTGATGGTGCAGTAAGTAAATACTGCAAACACTACGCGGTTTAACTTTGCACACTGCACAAGTGTTCACATTTGACATGAATTATGATGTGTCTTTAATCTGATTGAAATGTAATAAAACTCAAACGTAACAACATGGAACACAAATACATTTTTTATGAGGTCGAAGCAATTCACTTGTATTTAAAATGATCCACAGTACAATAAAAACATTAGAAAAAGGATAACGTAATCAAACATATTTCTGTATGTGTATATATATTAGGCATTGATCCCATTTAGTCTCAAATAAAATTAATCCAACAATGACTATTGAAACACAATGCTGCAAGTCTGTTTGCAATTACTTGATTTTTATTGTTTTTGTTGGTTAAATGCATGTTTTTATTGTTCCAGCCCCAGTAACTCTCCCATGATTAGGTGCAACTTTTTGTTTTCTCTGACTTCTTTTACGCAGTAAGTGGCCGCGAGTTGAGTGTGATGAGTTCTCTGCAGACCTTGTGCATTATGTGTCTCGAAGCAACTAAAAAAGCCAGTTTCTTCCCCCAACTGAGACGCACAAAGTGGAAAACGTTTCGGATCTATTGTTTTCCTTTAAGTGCCATTCCTTCTGTCTTGCCTAAATCCCTTCTCTCCCTTTCAGGCTATGAGTGTAAAAGCAACACCATGACCTCAGAGGGCGTCCTGTTAAACTCCATGTTCTCTCATCTCTCCTTTCTCCAGGTGCTGTAGCTGTGATTTTGCCACCACCAACATGAACAGTCTGAAGAGCCACATGAGGAGACACCCCCAGGAGCACCAGGCCGTGCAGCTGCTGGAGCAGTACAGGTGAGAGAATCCAGCACACAGAGGCGTGATAAGAGCCCCTGCAGGACCCCCGAGGTGAGAATGAAGTGCCCAGCCCAGAGAAGCTGAGGTTATCAGAGTCTCTGTGGGGCTCCAGCTGCGTGTGAGCACTTTGTGTCGCATGGTCCCAGCAGCCTGTGAAGGAATGGGCTTCTATTTGGCAGGGAAGAAAGTGATGGGGATTAAATACTCTCTCTGTCATCCTTAAAATGTACCTTGACCAAGCCCCTGATTGGTGATTTCCACTTCACTAAAACACTCATCCGTACCTGCAGGTGTAGAATGCCATTAGAAAATACACTCTGTTAAGGGCACTCATGAAGTAAGAGGACTTGAGTGTTAAAAGTGGGCCAAATTGAAGCAGTAAGTTCAGACTTACCTGTAAAAGTAATTCAACTTTTGGAAACCGTCAATATTTGGTTTATCCAATCTAACCCTATCGCTTTTACAGGTGCTCAAAGTCGCTTTACAGAGATAGTGACAAGAAAAGAACAACAAATAAATATAGTTACATTTAAAATCAAGCAATACAAAAACAATCACACATTAAAAGCCCGATTGAAGAGGTGAGTTTTTTTGAAGGTGGTGAGGTCAGTGCAGTTTCTGATGGGTTGGGGGAGTGAGTTCCAGTGGGAGGGGGCAGCGACGGAGAAGGCTCTGTCTGTCCCCCCAGGTCTGGTGCTTGATGCGGGTGGGGAAGGATAGTAGGGCTGCACGATTTTGGGAAAGAATCTAATTGCGATTTTTCTAACAAATATTGCGATTCGATTTGGGTTATTTGTTTTTAAGCGACCCAACGGATGTTTATTAGAAAAAATGCGGCCATATCTCCGGCTAGGAAGGTCGCATCAACGTACTCCCGTCTCTAGCACCCCCGCAATCCGAGCTACGAGTGAAAGAACTAAACTTACATGAAACTTCCGTTGGGTTGCTTTAAAGTCAAGCTTCAGTTTAAGACTCACCCTGTAATAGATGTAACACATGTGATGGAGCATTACTAACCTGACTCAGACGCTTTGTTTCACCAAACCATCTAGGAAAGCTCCATTGGAAGCCATTTGGAAAAGGGCAGGCACTTTCAAAAATACTTTGCAGGTGATTGGATCAATCTGTCTATCACCTTCTATCATAGGCCACTTCTGATTGGGTAACAATGGCTGGTACATGTGGAGCACAGCACTTCTGATTGGTGTGGATGACTGACACACAAGAAGAAAAAAAAAAAAAATGTAAACATTATTTTTTTTTAAATCGCAGGCTTTGCGATTTGATAATCGCATCATTTAAAATCGTGATTTCGATTTAAAATCGATTAATCGTTCAGCCCTAATGGATAGGAGGTTGGCTTCTGATGAGCGGAGGCAGCGGGAGGAGGTGTGGTGCACCACCACACCTCAGCAGGACTGTGAGGTACAACAAGAAAAAGCAAAAAGAAATCCCAAATGCATAATTCCTTTGTTTTTTATTTATTTTGAACAGTAGTGCACATTTCAGTTTAAAAATAAGGAACTCTAACATTTTTAATAATTAACTTTATTACACAGTTAAAAACAAACCACAAACAGTACCACACACACTCGGATAGCTGTATTATCTATAATGGTTGATGTCAAACAAAAAGGTTCAATAAGCTGTAAAACAAAAAATAATGTCTTGAAAATATTACAAAATAAATAATAAGATAGTGTTTCAATCACAATCAATAAAAGCCGGGGTCCTCTACTATTGCATAAGGGCGCGGCATAGCCGTTGAAAAACATATGCCAAAAGCTTCCGTTATTAGGGCCCGAGCACGGAGCGCTAGGACCCAACGGCGTCCTAGCACGAAATGCGAGGAACCTATTGTTATCCTAGGAATTCTTCTTATTATTATTCCATATTTGTATATTGTTTTTGGGGGCTTTAGGGCGCTCCAGAAGTTGACATTTTTAATTAGCATAATGTTCAAAACAGTGAAATATTCACCTACATTTAAATTTCACACCAAACTTCGTATACAGCATCGGTGGAGTGTCAGACATATTACCGTAGAAAATGAGCATGTTCAGACGATAAATATTGCCGCCATGAATCAAAACGTACTCGCAAAAAGGCGGGGCTTAGAAATAAATGCTCATAACTCGTTGTTTTTTTAAAAACTGCCCCCTATTGTGTGGTAGTCACATATAGTTTCTCAGAACTTCACAAATGTTGGCACAGACATTCCTCATGGAATTGCGGACATATTTCTAATTAGCTTCCATTAGCCCCGCCCCCGACAAAGTCGGCCCTTTTGAAACATTTGCATTTTTGATAGCTCAATCGTGGAGGTTGTAAGCTAACGGAGAATATACCATTTTTGACGATTTACATGTCGCAAATTACTCAACTACTCTCATATAGTTTTTCCGATATTCACGAAACGCTGTATACACATTGCTTTCATGATTGTACACATATTTCAAATTGCTTTTAATTAGCCCCGCCCCCCAGAAAGTTGGCCATTTTGAAATATGTGCGTTTTTCATCCATTTTAAGGACATTTTTGCAAACTCCTCCTAGGGGAATGATCGGAAAAATTCCAATCCAGGACAACTTCAGCCCCTATCCAATATGATGCTACATTTTTAAGCCAAATTTCGATAGCTCAATCGTGGATGTCTTAAGCTAACGGAGAATATACCATTTTTGACAATTTACATGTCACAAATTAATCCAAACTACTCGCATACAGTTTTACTGATATTCACGAAACGCTGTATATACATTGCTCTTATGAATCTGGACTTATTTCAAATTGCCTTCCATAAGCCCCGCCCCCCAGAAAGTCGGCAATTTTCAAATATGTGCGTTTTTCATGCATTTTAAGCACATTCCTAGGGAATGTTCGTAAAAATTCCAATCCAGGACAAATTAAGAGCATATCCAATGTCATGCTACATTGAGAAGGAATAGTACTTCGCTTGAACGGAGAGCTCGTAGACTAACGGAGAATGTACAATTTTTGACCATTTATGTCAGGTAAGCTACTGAGACCTGCCTGTCTGCCTGGTACATCAACTCTCACACACACACTCACTCACTCACTCACTCACCTACTGTTAGTCCAACAACGCCCTTAGCTGGCGGCATATTCATTACAACAGACACCTATACACTCCACAACACACACCTACTCACTGTACAACACACACATATATAAAGCGTACGCTCAAAAGATGGCGTACGCCAATTTCTAAGCAATCTTTGCGATTTATAAAAAAGAAACTTGGCGGGAAAATTTGCGATCCTCCACGGACACTCTGACCCATCCGTACGCGGTACGCACAAAAACGGAAGAGATGAGAAACTGCGACACCGTTGGCAGAAGGAAGAATGGAGAGAAATGTGGAAATAATACCATAAATAAAATGTTACCTCTCATTTATCATATGAAGAATTAATTTTCATACATTGATTAAAGCCAATCTTAAAATGATTAAACAAACGCCTGTTTGCGACTCCTCAGTGCACACAAAAACATAACTTGGAGAAATAAATAAATACGGATATGTTATTTAAAACCACCTCGAATATGTTGTGTTAATGTTATGAAATGTTTTCTCATAAATGATGCGGTAAGCAGAAGGATAGCATTACTTTAAACTGACACCGTTTTGCATTTCTATAGGTTGTATAGATACGAGCATGGTTTATACTATCATGTTTTGTGCCGTTTGCTAAGACTTGATAAGTCGCTCATAAAACACAGGAGGTATGGAAACTAAGAACACCATATTTGGTAAATTGTACAGCTGATGTAACACAACACATTAGTTTTATTTCCTTTAACTGGTGGATAGAGTTGCTGCGGGGGGTTGAGATGCAGTGGAGACGCTGCGCACAGCTGATCGACAGCTGGAACACAAACCACGAAATAAAAAATAAAAATTCTGATCCAGTCGTCATGACTCCACTCCGGAGGGATTCCCCGATTATTTCTTACAGTTTCTCATTGAGGGGGGGTCTCCTGTCCCCGGCACATCACACTGACACACTGCCTGAGGAAGGTTATATGTTTTTTGTAATTAATTTTTTTCGGACCACTTAGTTATTTCAAGCTTTAATGTTGAAGCTCGAAATCGAGAAATGTTTTGTTTTCAGCGGTAGCTGAAGTTGCTCAGCAAAAGCTCAAGAAACAGCAGCAGATAATACAGCGACATGTAGAAGGCCCTCTCTGGAGCCACAGTTTATGATGTCCTGGCTTGACAACTGTTTTTTTAGCTACCAAAACCAATAAAAAGGTTTTGTTTATGGCGATTATACACTTACAATTCAGTCTAATTACTTCACTCGTCTACAGTAAATCCTCTTTCCTCCCTCCACTCTCTGTCAGGCTCAGTACTCCGTGTGGAGTCTTGAGTCAGGATGAATTCTCCTCCTAGAAGGATTAATTTTGACTTAATAAAATCAGGAAGCAAATTGAATTAACTTCCCCTCTCACTCTGTGGCTCTCTCTCCCCTCTGCTCCAGGTGCTCCCTGTGTGGCTATGTGTGCAGTCACCCCCCCTCCCTCAAATCCCACATGTGGAAGCACGCCGGAGACCAGAACTACAACTACGAGCAGGTCAACAAAGCCATCAACGAGGCCATCTCCCAGAGCAGCCGGTAAACACCAGACTACCATAGTACCATACTACCAGACTACCATACTACCAGACTACCACAGTACCGTACTACCATACTACCACACTACCAGACTACCATACTACCAGACTACCATAGTACCAGACTACCATACTACCAGACTACCATACTACCAGACTACCACAGTACCGTACTACCATACTACCACACTACCAGACTACCATACTACCAGACTACCACAGTACCGTACTACCATACTACCACACTACCAGACTACCATACTACCAGACTACCATACTACCAGACTACCATAGTACCATACTACCATAGTACCATACCACCATACTACCTGCTACAGCCGTGGCTGTACTCTGAGTTTCTCTCAGGTTCATCTCTGTGACTCAGCAGACATCTACCCTGGAAAACACTTCTTCATGTGTCCTTTCTATATGTATACATATTACAATGAATTTGAGCCCTTGATAAAAGCCAATATTTGGATTTCATATACACTTTTACTTTCAAGCTCTACAAAAATAAATGTAAGAGTATTTTTTATGAATTGAATTTATGCTTTTTAAACAACTTTTAAGCTAATTTAATACAAATTATTACATTAGTTGGCCATTTTACCCTAGTAAGTGGTTTCCCTCTAGGCTCATGATTGTTCTGACACCATTAATAATAATAATAATAATTATTATTATTATTATTATTATATTGCACAGTTGGAAAACTATTTATTTTTTCTTGATTTTTTATTTGTGTACAGCATGTACTACATTTGATTGTTTAATTGTAAATGTTCTCTATTATTTTTTGCTGATATTCTTATTTAGTAAGCATCCAAATATTATCATGTTGTTGTTTTATCACAAAGCCCAATGTTATGTTAAGTAAAATAACATTGAGGCACCTTTAAAAGTGTGTTTGGCAGAAAGAGCAGTGACTGTCATCTGTCACTCTGCGTCAGAGGGATAATAGATTTTTGGCTGCAAGTTACTTTTATATATCCAACAGATGTCAACAAAAATGGGCAGTGTGCTTTTATGAAACTTTCCTTAAAGGGATAGTGGAAATCCGCGAATTTTGGGTTTAACTTATGTATTTTTATTAAAAAAAAGCATAATAAACAATTTTTTTTAATTTCATCCGCCTAGTTTCATTTTATTTTCAATTTGACTGCGCCCTCTCAATGAAACGAAATACTTCGGGAATCGTCGGGAATCTTCGGGTGATGACGAGAGCAGAGGAAGACGGGCACAAACAATGGCGGACATTCAATAGCATTTGCATGTGAATAGCCGACCTTTATTATGGTGAATAGATGTTTTGTATGGCTGTAGTGCGACAGCAAATGCAGAGAATGGCGTATCGACGCATGCGTTTCCAAGAAACCCAGCCATTCGTCGTCAGTGGGTGAAATTTGTTCAGATAACACGGGCAAACTTCACGGAGCCGAAGCTGACGAGTAATTCGGCAGTCGTGTGCTCCCGTCATTTTACTGACGATTGTTTCGAGATTCCTCGGTCTCTAGCTCAAATTGAAAGTGGAATACATAAGAAGTGAGTATTTTATTATGTTTTCTTGTTGATTTAATGCATCATTAGCCTGTACCATGTTGTACAACGCCATTTATCCGGTACACAGTGTCGAATGTGTACACTACAGTCATCATATAGACTATGATAGACTAACAGTACTGTGAGTACAGCCTACACTTGACAGGCAGCCTGGCTATCCTAGGATGTTGTTTACTTTCTCTTTTCTGGCTGATAGCTCCAGGAATTCGAGGTCTTACAGTGATGACATTACACCTGTGGAGTCTCAGCTTTAAATCGTATATCTTGTTTGTGCAGTTAAGATAGTAATAAGGGCATTTCTACCGTGTGTTGTGTGTAAAAAAGCGTTAGCATTAGTTAGCATTGTTTCGCTCAATGCTAATTCAAAGGCTTGGTATTACTCTTGTGTTTTTTCTAGCTAACAATTGTTCTTATTGTCAGTTAGCGGAGTTTCTTACCTTTAAAAGGGTATGAAACATTAATAGTTTCATAAATGTTAAGAAGCCCTGAGACATGTGAGAGAAAAAAAACTGTGGGAGGGGTCCACTGGGGGGACCTTCGGGCTTAACTGGTTAACAATGATTAATATTTGTAAAGGCTACAGGTGATCTTAAGATGCGTGAGCTATGCTTAGGGACCTACCAGTCAAGATTATTTGTGCGTAGGGGTGCATCATCTGGCGCCTGGTCCTGGTCATCCTCGCCATTGCCCATGCCGTGAACCATCACCTCGGGCTCGGGCTCGAACAAATAAGGACGTAATGGTCCATCGTCTGGCTCAATATTGTCACCATCGTCGCTTACTGAACCGGATTCAGATTCAGTTCCTAAAACGACATTTTCGTAGGAAAGCCGAGAGGATGTTTCTGACTCGCTATCATCACTGGATACCTCGTACAATCCTTCTTCTTTGTCTGGTATATTTGCCCTTCCACGTTCATTCTGCATAGACGCCATGGTTTGTTATCGTATCGTCTTCCTAAGTTTTCGTCACTTCCGGTTAGGCTGAGAAACATTTCGTTTCTAAAAAACTTCGGGGAAGCTGCAATAAAGTGCTTCTAACATGCGTAAGGCAATTATTTTTTTTTTTAATCAGGTGTGATTGTTTTGGTACGTAATTATGCTTGTATATAAGTTAAAACGAAACTATTTGAGGTTCCATTTCCACTATCCCTTTAATTAGCCAAAAATGTCCTTAAAGTGAGATGTGCAGCAGTCAGTTAATCTCTCTCCCTCTGTTGCTGATTCCTTCATTTCCTCAGAGCTCCTCAGAAGCTACCGGCGGTGATGGAGTCAGCAGCTGAGCGGCCTGCGGGGGCCCCCCCCACAAAGGGCCCCGTGGAGGCATCAGCCGGCCTGGCAATGGACAGCTCAGCTACCCTGCCTACACCTACCACGGACCCCTCACAGTGGCCCGGTGAAGCCCTGAGCCCCCAGAGGAAGGACTCCGCTCTGCTGCAGCAGCGTTCCAGTCAGGCCCCCGGCTCTGGGATGGAGTACTGCGTCCTCCTGTTCTGCTGCTGTATCTGCGGCTTCGAGTCCACCAGCAAGGAGCGTCTCATGGAGCACATGAAGGAGCACGAGGGCGACATCATCAGCATCATCCTCAACAAGGAGCAGCAAGCACAGGCAGCAGAGTGACAGCTGTCCCCCCCCCCCCCCCCCCCCCCCCCCCTCTCTACAATAACACTGAACTGCTGCCCTCTAAAGTATTTCATGTTTCCTTACCTCAAGGTGGTTATAAGGTGTTAAACATTTCACATCTACTGTTCCACAGAACCGTACGGAAGACGATTAGGGCCACATGAGAAACACACTTTGGGATGTGAGCATTTTGAGTTCTGGCTTTAATCTCAAGACACTGAGAAAGAAGTCAGAATCCTGAGAAAAAAGGTCAGTATTCCGAGATGAAAGACTTTTTTTTTAATCAAAATTGTGACTTTTTACTCAGAATCCTGAGATTAAAGTGAAAGACGGAACTCAACATGTTCTTTTCTTTTGGTCACTTCCCTACATTTCTTTCTCATTTGGCCCTAATTATCTTCCGTAGAACTGTCATTTCTCAGAATGACATTATTTTCTGAGTATAACATCCTTTTAAACGGGATTTCGTACAAATGATAGCTATTTTCTAGGCCGTTTTTTTTACTTTAAGATGTCTGTAGGGAAGTGATTTAAATGTCAAGGGAAACCCGAGCTCTAACCAAGTTTATTTCTCAACATACAGGGACAAAATCATACCTCACAAAACCATACAACCCCTCACCAGAAATGGGAAAACCAATTTCCAGTCTATTTCATATATTGACCACGAGGCAGCTCTCTTATTGCTTTTGTAATATGTAATGTATTTGAACTGACACGGTTGAGGAGCTCCAAACTGAACATGTCTAACAGGCATCTATCGCAGCTTACATAGGATTCAATATTTATCACTTTATTTGTATGCATGTTTCTGTTATGCCAATTCTATAGAGGCAAATGTTTTTTTTGTATGTGTGACTGTAATCTGACTAGTCTGATCATACATATTATTTGTATTATATTTCTATAGAGGAAAAAGGTAAAGTTGTCAAAGAAAAGTAGAAGTATGGCAAATCCTTTTTAATATGTTGCCAGCAATTAATTTGAGATATCTGTAGAAATGTTTTGACATGTCACAAATATATTTTCACATGTAGATATTACATTTAAACACGTCAAAACTGATTTACAGATATCTTTAATTTAATAATATTTTCAATATTCCCCTTAATGCTAGTAAGAATAACAATGACTGATAAAACAAACATTTTCTTTTCACATTTAAACCCTCAGAAATGTTATTTTACATTACATTTTGAATATGTAACACACAAATTACCTAATCATTTCTATCTGTTTTTGGGTAGCACATTTTGTTGCTACTACAGTTTTATTTTTCAATTCCAGAAATCACATTCTTACTAGTTAAAATTACAAACTAGAATGTATGATATTTTGTACACAAAATACATGTCCAAAAGTAACAGTTTTGTTGTTGATATGAATAATTAACATATTTACTAGTAGAAATTACTTATAGATATAATTTATTAGAATTACAACTAGACACAATTACATTATTGATTTGTCGACTTGGAAACATAACCTGTCAAAATGTAGTCTACTATTCAGTTTGAATAGAAGTCAACGGTAAACTAGTTGGAATCAAATTATACATATTTATAATAAAGATTCCCCCCTAATAAGAAATGAGTTGTGGACATAAATAATTCACATTTTGACTGATGAGAAAGTGATTGTAGCTAATAATAAATATAAAAAGGGTTTGCCATGGTGGACGACGATAAAGAACTGGTCTTTGATGGTTGTAGTCTATAGACAGAGGTATTGGGTTAGGGTATGTTGACAAGAGGAATCATCAAAAGGGAAGTTAGCGTATGTTGCGCTGTTATTTAAATGGAATGGTGCCTAGATATTTCAAAGCAGGAATATTTTGTTATTTAATCTCAACCACCTGCTCTTCACGTGTGATTGTGTTGCTAGGATCACTCAGAGGTCTCATTGAAAGTATAATCTGTTTTTTTTTTATAGCCCATGCAATTTATTTTGTATATAATACCATTTTTATAATAACCTCTGCTCTTTTTGTCAGTGTTTTTAAAATACAAACTTTCTAGTGTCAAACACAACATGGAATGACTGCTGTCCTGCTAACAGACATGGATGTACAAAATAAAGTTTGGAGGTGACACGTTTTTTGAAGTTTATTGTCCCATTCTGAGGGTCTAGTAGAGTATAATATAACTCTATACTCGGCACACTGCAATGACGATTAAACAGGAACTTGAACCTTGACCTTGTGTGATGGATGGATACAAAGAATTGGATATAGTGGGTGTTTCTCAATGTCGAGGAAAGCTGCTCCAGAGCCACTATTTCAAGCATACTACGTCATCGAGTGCCGCCGAAGGACTGTTCCAATGTCCAGCATACTTGGAATTCTACCGAGCCCGGCGTACTTCGTTTGGAGAAACACGTGTAGACTCCGCGGTCTTAAAATCCCCACAATACTTTGCGCACGGACCAATTTCCCCAAATCTGTGGCGGAAAATGTAAGGCGGGCCTCTCATATGACGCACACCTGTACACTTGCTAGCCTGTTCCACTCTTCGTTTTCCGAATGCCAGGAAGTATTCTTGCCTGAAGCAAGACTCTCGTAAGACATGCTACCAAGCAAGCGTACTCGACATTGAGAAACACCCAGTGTTAGTGGGGGCCTTGTTCACTCCTATTTAAGTTGCTCAGTGGCCCATGAATCCAAACGTACATGACTGGGAACACCCAGATTTACAAGGATATGTACAGTGGCCGTATGTGTTGTCAAGTTGATGAAGATGTATCTTCATTTGCATGTGTTTTGGCACATTTGACATACAATTCTACATTTCTCTTTGACAATGTAAGTCAATGGGAACAAGTATTTTGACCTCATGGAAGCTGTAGTACCACCGCTTGGCCACAACGCCCATTCCAAAAATCGATTCAAAAATAAATATTGCTGATTAACATACGTCTCTTACCAAATCAAAGTCAATTGAAAGAAGTTTTTCCGAGCCCGATGACGCACTTGTTGACCAACACATCCGGAGTTATTTTTATTAGGAAATCTTTTTTTCCAACCTATAACTAATTTCCACCAATCTAATGTATCATGCAGTCCAGTCTGCGGTCAGTATGTCATCCACACACACACACACACACTAGAGGTTTCTCAATACTCTAAAGAGGCTTCTCAATACTCAAATTTCCCCTCCTCGACTGCTCGACTCCTCGGTCCTCCGGTAGTGACCCGGAAATGAATTTCAGAGCGCCATTTTGAAGGACGTCTCATTTATCTAAATGCACACCGAGGACCGAGCATCGAGCGTCGAGGAGGCTCTCTGGAGGAGCTATAACCGAGGATACACTGATGGTTCCTCCACGGATGCATTTCCGGGAACGGTGGAGGCGTGACGCACGGCCGGACTTATCTCAGCCAATGACATGGCATGCATCCCCTGGATATTATTTTAGAAACTGCTTTCATCGCGTCGCGATGTTTCCAGAGAGAACAGCTGTACGGTCCGTGCAGAAAGCAGAGCAGTGTGTATAATATATATCACTCAGTATAACGGGCCTACTCTCTTTATTTGCTTTAGTTTAGTAGATATCTACAAACAAAGAGTCGATATTTTTCTAAGACCATTGCTTCACATAATAAAATACACAACGGCTTATGCTTTAGGAGCTGTAGGTGTGTGTGGTACAGTGTGTAGGTATGTGTGTGGTACAGTGTGTAGGTGTGTGTTGTACAGTGCGTAAATGCGGCGGACAGACGGGTCTCAGTTGGTTTGGTTTCCTCTGCTTACTTTTAATACTTGTAAATACAACTTTTGGCCAGTAATTTAAATTCCCCATTTCAGCGACCAGAGAGAGGGGGGGATATATCCAGTCTCTGATTGTGTTACGTTATTATGAGAGTGCTCTCATGCTTTAAATTGTATATATTTATATAAATATATTTGTGTGTGTGTGTCCGCATCTGTAGCCTGTTATTGTCTCATTATACCGCACTCTCAATGAATTCAAAGTAAATATGTGGGGGAACAATGTTCAGCTGATCTAACAGAGATACAGCGCTATGACAAAACACTCGACAGCTGATGCAGCTGTTGCCACGTAATAATGAACGGACGTCTCTTTAAAATGACCGCTCAGAGGAGAGGAGTTCTCATTTCTTTAAACGTCTGCTGCTTCCCCTCCTCTCTCCTCGGTTCCCCTCCTCGGTCCTCCGCTCGCATCTCCTGTGGGCCGGTCTAAGTCTCGAGGAGGGGAACCGAGGAGGGGAGTCGAGGAGGGGAAATTTGAGTATTGAGAAGCCTCTTAATTTCCCCTCCTCGACTCCTCGGTCCTCCGGTAGTGACCCGGAAATGGATTTCAGCACGCCATTTTGAAGGTCATCTCATTTCTCTAAATGCACATCGAGGATCGAGGAGGCTCTCTGGAGGAGCTATGATTGAGGATACACTGATGGTTCCTCCGCGGGTGTATTTCCGGGAACGGTGGAAGCGTTACACACGGCCGGACTTATCTCAGCCAATGACAGCTCTGCATGCATCCCCTGGATAGAGAGGCGAAGTCCCTCCCCTTCCGGTGGGACTCATGGGACCTTATTTCCGAAAAAGTTTGTATTGAAGTCAATGGAGAGAGAAAGATTATCTTTCGAGCCGTTTGAATTGTGCCATGAATTACACATATGATGTTTGTCAATCTTAAAAAATGATTTCCATGTCAAAAAAGTCAGTTTGTCGTAAAACTGTTGAAATATAAGACTATGAAAAATACGCAACTAGAAAGACTACAAATCCCAGAATCCCGGTCCCGCATGCTGGCTCTTACGGAACCGACTAACTCCCCTTGTGTGTATGTACAGCTCTCAACGTGCCCAGACTTGGAGTGATTTTCACCTCTTTTAATACTTTTCGCCTCATTCTGAAAGAAAGAAGTGAAATGTTCCAACGTGACGGCCGTCTTGGTGTGTGGTGCGAGACGGGAGATGTAGTTCATTGAGCGGTTTCACACAAAAAAAGTGTTACTTCACAGTTTTACGACACATATTTTAAATTGACAAACATAATTCGCGTCGGGCCGAACCATGCCCCTTAGCTGTGATATAATGAGCATATAACACGGCCTGTCGTGAGCTATTGCTTAATTATACCGCACTTTCAATTAATTAAAAGTAAATATATAAGTCGTCATGAACACAGTTCTGTCCATCAGAAAGAGGGCTGCTGTGCCTCCTGTCATCATTAATGGACGTCTCTTTAAAATGACCGCTCAGAGGAGAGGAGTTCTCATGTCTCTAACCGCCTGCTGCTTCCCCTCCTCAGTCCTCCGCTCGCATCTCCTGTGGGCGGGACTAAGTATCAAGGATAGGAGTCGAGGAGGGGAAATTAGAGTATTGAGAAACCTCTATTGAGACTGAGGAAAATGAAGCTCAGTGTAAGTTCAACCAGGAAGACCGTCTATCCACTATTCCCATGTATCTCCTCTCAATAAGTGATCGGGGGCGTCACTCTCCAGCTTAACCAATCACTCTATTCCCAAGAGCCTATCATAGCGCTCTGCCAAACCTTTTAAGTCTGCTCTCCCCCCTCTGACAGCTGTCATTTCAGGTGACTCTACGCAACCCTCCTCCACCCCTTTTCACCTCCTGTCCCTCTGAATCCAGGGTCAAGCTAAGCCCCTCCTCTTCAGACCGACCCAACTATCCATTCATCACCACCAGTGTCTAGACCCCGGGGGATTTCATCGGATCGGTTCTACCCTCCCGGATGATACTCCTGCGCAACTGGGCCTAATCACCAACATCACCATTACATTAATTTGTGTATCTCTGCAATAAATATATATTCTTACATCAAAACCGTCTCTCCTGATTGAATGAAGGTAATCCATAATTCATGCCCCCCTTCCCCACCTGACATAACAGCTCAGCGTGGCGATAAAACGAAATGAAATCTTTATCTCAAAGACCTGCTTCCTGGCCTGGAGTTCTCATTATAATAGCATATCATTATTGTATGACTTTAAATTAATATACCTGGCAGAATTAGGACAGTTAAAGACATGTTTAAATAATAAAAGCTCCTGGCATGCATGCTAATTCATGTGTACAAACACAGCCTGGCACTTTCCTTTCTGTCATATATATCTTTTTTTTAGAGATTATTCTTTGGGCCACCTTCATTGGAGAAACAGCGGGGAAGATGTGGTCTGCAACGGGACTGAGCCCTAATGGTTACCGGGTGAGCTTTACAGGGGCTCCCCTGCTTACAGTTTATACCCCAACATCCTTGTCCCACTCCCTTACTTAATTTTACTTTTGCAATATGGGGTTACCAAAACATTAGGTTGGTTTTACTTTTCAAATCAAATCGAAGTTTATTTATATTGCCCAATATCACAAAACGTGTTTGAGCCTACAGATTAACAAACATGAATGACAGTGCTAAAAGAAAAAATACAATTACAGGAAAATAATAAAAATACAAGATAGTGTAACATTAAAATATAATGGGATAAAAGACAACAAAAATGCAATCAAATACAATCAAACAATACAACAAAATATTATAAAATGTAGGACCTAGGAGGACATACATACGGAGTCATCGGAAACCAGCTCTGATAAAAACAGGAAGATGGTTCCAAAGAGAGGGAGCTAGCTGAACGCTCTGACTCCTGATCAGGGTTGTACCTGTACTTCAGTCAGACAACTCACGTGTTTCTTTAACATGTTTATTAGAAGCAGCATATAATTGAGTTTGGCATCTAGGCTCGGGTCTCATCACTCTACAGATACACATAACTAACCCCCGAGCCTACAGGTGGAAGCTGGGGTGGTGGTGGGGCTGGCAAGCAGTGATGTACAGTAGCTGCAGCAAAGCAGAGAGAGAGATCTGGCAGGTTAAATAGAGCGGCATATTAAGGAGACTCTGTTTGGTTGGTTGTAGAGTGGCAAGGGGCGTTATGTATGAATGCAGCATAAGTGCTCGAGTTGACTGCCATTACTAGCTCGCAGGCTTCGCCCCATTTCAGTCAGACAACTCACATGTTTCTTTAACATGTTCAGAGGTCGCGTTATCCGAATATTTTCCGTCTATGACGGATTTTTTTTAACAATGACGGACAAATCTGAAAGCAGTC